TGGTGGGCTTAGCGTGTTTAGTGGCTTTGGTGGGTTTAGTGGCTTTAGTGGCTTTAGTGGGTTTGGTGGGTTTAGCGTGTTTAGTGGCTTTGTTGGGTTTAGTGGCTTTAGTGGCTTTAGTGGCTTTGGTGGGTTTAGCGTGTTTAGTGGCTTTGGTTGCTTGTGTGTGGGTTTAGTGGCTTTAGTGGCTTTGGTGGGTTTAGCGTGTTTAGTGGCTTTGGTGGGTTTAGTGGCTTTAGTGGCTTTGGTGGGTTTACCATATTTAGTGGCTTTGGTGGGTTTACCATATTTAGTGGCTTTGGTGGGTTTAGTGGGTTTAGTGGCTTTAGTGGGTTTGGTAGGTTTTGGGTTTAGTAGGTCTTAGGGTGTAGGGGGTTGGGGGTTTAGTGGGTTTAGAGTTTAGGGTTTAGGGATGTTTAGGGTTTAGTGGGTTTAGTGGGTTTGGTGGGTTTAGTGGGTTTAGTGGGTTTAGGGTTCAGGGATTAGGGATGAGGGATTAAGGGTTTAGGGGGTTGGGGGTTTACGGGTTTGGAGTTTAGGGTCTATATCCATATTTGTGAGAAGGAACACAGGATGGCGAGGCTAGGAAAAATCAGTAATTCTATCCCCTTGTAATCAGTCCCTTTGTAGCTGCCGTGTAATCTACCTCCACACCTTACTCTACTTATTTAGGGCCCTATATTGGGCCCTGTAACAGCATCCGATAGCCCCGGAGCCCAGAGCTTCACAAAGAACTCGGCTGTGCCAGGAAGAATTCTGCAATGTGAGCGGTGTGGGTCTACAGTACCGAGAGGCCTCGCCCAGCGTGACTTCTGGGGTGCAGGGTTCCCAGCCAAGTCCGTGTGTGAGGACACGGGGGAGCGGAAAGCCTTATAGAGCCCGTTGTCGTTCGGAAGGCCGTGCAACTAAGGAACTCTCGAGTACTTTTTGGCATGGCTTCGGGTTTGGCCTGCCTAAACCAAACCTAGACCACTCATGCGTCGAATTAGCTCTGGTTCTTCGAGATCCAAGGCGATTTTTCATCGAAGATGGCGGTGTTTGGTCTGAGAAACCATCGGTTCGAAAGTCATGCGCTGGACTGTGACGGCTTACAGCTTGGGGTCTAGGGTTTAGGGAAGACCTATGTGTGCAGAATCTAGGGCCCCACTGCAATCCCGGCAGGACTTAGGGTCATTGCTGAAACCCTAAACTCAAAGTAAACGCTAAACCTCGAAACTTGACACCCCTAAACCCCACTGCCTATGCTGCTGCCCTCCCTTTCTGAAACCCTCCCTCCCCCAGTCCTGAATCCCGAGCTCCATGTGCTGAATGTCAGGTGCGCTGCCTCTCCCCAGAGGGCGACCTCGCTTGCTCCTCGTTGCATACTGAAGGGGTTTAGGGCCTATAGGGTTCAGGGGTTTAGGGTTTAGGGGTTTAAGGTTTAGGGGTTCAGGGTTTAAGGTTGACGGGTTTAGGGGCTAGAGTGGCCCCTGATTTTACACTCAAGGGGTGATTCAAACTATTGTTGTGATTCGGGTTCTGCAAGGGGCGCAGACAACACAGGCTGAGATTGCCTGTGTTGGGCTGTCGTTTTATTGTCCATGCTTGGCCCAAAGCCCTAGACACGTAGTGCACATAGTACACATGCTGTGACCAACAAGCGGCAACGGCCGTCACTGGCTTGCTGGCGCAGCCGCATAACCGGCGGCAGTACTGCATACTCTCTAGAAGCGTCACATTTACAGTGGCTTAGCGTCCCCAATAGCCTACCACAACCTCCCCTAAACTGTAAACCCTATAAATAAGCACTATAATCCCTCAACCCAAAGACTAGAACTGAGAACCCAGTAACCCGTACATATGTAACTGGGCTCTTCGGGACGGCATCCTGGAACCCCTCCCCCCGCGCGCACCGAAGAGTCGACGAATCAGGCTCGGCCCGCTGATGATACCAACCGTCACGAATTCTTGTCGGAATAATTAGGGGCAGAACCCTCTCATAATAGTCCGTATATATATATATACACACACACATGATATTATACTGCACACCCCAAAACCATATTCCATTCATATAGGCCCCCGATCTTACCCCGCAAACATCCTGAGCGCTCCGAACTTCGACCCGGCGCAACTGCGAAGTCGCTGGCTCATGCCTTCTACGAGTGGGGTTTAGGTGATGGGGTTTAGAGATTAGGGGTTTAGATGATAGGGTTTCGGGTT